TTTTTTATTTATAAAATTTAAATTTAAAATGTTAATTAAAAAAATAAATTTTTTCCATTCAACTAGTAAATTATTAGTAAGTAACTTTATAAATTATATTTAGAATTTAAAACTTATGGCAGAATTGATATGAGTGGGATACAATAAAGAATGAGATATGATTATTTTTTATTGTTAGGTGGGATGAAATAAAAAATGAGACATAATTATTTTTTATTATGTAATTAAAATAAAAAATATTAGAAAATTTTGCATTTTCTTTATTTGTTTTTAATAATTTTAATTTGATTTTTGAATTTTTTAAACATAAATTTTAACTAAAAGTTTAATAACTTATATGCATAACAATTAATATTTAAATCTTTAACTAAATTTTATTATTAAATTTATTAATTTTTCATACATAATAATTTTTCAATGAAAGACTTTTAAATTCAACTGTTAAATATCTAATAGTATGTTTAAATTAAAGAGAATAGAGGTGAGGGAGGAGAGGAGAGAGGAAAAAATTTTTTTATCTATATATCAAAAAATTGGAGGAATGAGAAAGAGAAAATTTTACTTTACTTTATTTTTTTAATTTAATTATTTTTCCAAATGAAAAAAAAAAAAGAGAGGGAAATTAATGGAGGAGAATGAAGGAGAAAAATTCATCCCTCCTCTGTTCCCTCCACCCAAATATAAAATAAATATAAAAGGTTTTTTTACTTGCTAGCAAAGGTTTCAACTCGTATAACCCCTCTTTCTATCTCCCTTCCTCCATAGATTAAACCACTTATTTTGTCCACTGAAGTTCCTTCTAACCCAACAGTCCTAAAATCTTTCCCAATAAAATTACCATCAAACTAAACAAATGGTCTGGGACTCCTGGTCTTCCATCCTACTACTCATTCGGTTCATTTTTATTAGATTTAATTTAATTTTTTTTATTTTTTATTTTTTTATTTTTTATATATAAAATTTAGATAAAAATTTATCATATTATATACATAATAATTAAATTTTTTTTATTAAATAAAAATACTCAACAAAAATTTTATATAAAATTTTTTAATTATTTTTTCATATAAATTATTAAAATTTTATTTAAAATTTATACATGTAAAGTCAAAAAAATCAAGTTAACTTTATTAAAAATAAATAGAGTGAGTAGCAATTAACTGAGATCCAGTTTCAAAGTTATGTTCCAAAGTCTAAAAATAAGAAACTTCAGTCTTCCTTCCTTCCTTCCTTCCTTCCTTCCTTCCTTATCTCTCTCATCCTTCACTTTTTTTTTTATTTGGTCCCTCTTTCCTATCTCTGTCATCATTCATTTTTTTTCTTTTGATCTTTCTCTTATTTGGCATTCTCACAAGTCACAAGTTTTATTGAAAAGTTAATTACCTTTTTTGCCTTTATTTTTGGTTTCCAAGGACTTTAACATAAAAAAATTATGAAGTGTTTTTATCCTTTTAACAACCTACCAAAGTTGAGTGCCTCTTATCTTTCTCACTCTCTCCCAATTAATGCCTTTTTTTTCCTCATTATAATCTTTCATAATCTTTCATCTAATCGTATCTCTCCAATTCCACCGTCAAAGTTCCATTTTTAACCCCTCACTTTTGTCTCACCAACCACTTTTTAGCTCAATTTTCCTTCTGTATTTAAGTGCAAGATTATTTATTTTATATAACAACTTTTTTTTTTTTAATTTCTTACAATAGAAATCACATGTTAATGTGAATAATTAAAAAAAAAACACAATACATTTTGATTATATTTTTTAAAAAGTTAAAAACTAATTGAGACTTCAATCATATATTTTGAGTGATTTATCATATTATTTATCCAAAAATAATGATTTGTTATGTTTTAACTTTATAAATTTATGTGATATCTAAAATGATATGTTAAGAATAATAAAGAAGGTAATATATGGTCTACAAATTGTTTGATGATATTATAATTATTCAATTCAACTTATTAAAGGCAAAATAGTGTTTTGGTATTTTATTATTGTATTTTACAATTTAAACTATATAGAATTGTAAATATGAACCCTTGATTAAAGGGTGAACCCTTGACATTAAGGTTTACCCCCATCCAAGGGTTCTTATTTTACCATTCAATATAATTCAAATTGGAAAACAATAAACTCTTTTATTATTTGTTTCTAATAATAAATTTTTAGTTATATTTTTTCTTTAAAAGCAAAAATACGTCCCAACAACCCACAAAATATTTTGAAAAATGCTAGTATCTAATAATCTAATAATAAGAATCTTGAGTCCCACTTCTCTTCTTATCTCTCTTGTCACTCATTTCTTCTTCCTTTCTCTCATCTCATTTTTTAATAGTGAATAAGACACTCAAGAATGGCATGTCATCATGAGAGGAGAAAAATTTTTTTTTGACTTGATGGGAACAAATTCACCTATAAAGTTTGTAAGTGACAAATTACATACCTATGTGAAAGGAGAAGAAATTTTTTTGATTTTGATGGGCAATTTTATAAGTAACAAATGGCAAACACATGTAAGAAGAAAAGAAATTTCTTTGATTTTGAGGGACATTTTTCGTTTGCTTGGCATTTTTGCTAATTTGGGTTTGTTTTGAGAGCTATCTTTATAGGACGTTTTGAAGAGGATTATTCTTGTTATATTTTTATCATTTTATAATATTAATGTATTTTCAAGATTTATTTTGAAAATTTTAATTTTAATCAAAATGGAATCCCAAGGGAAACAAGATTAACCAAACAAACAAATAGAATTCTTCTTAATCTAGTTTTAATAATTTTATTAACTATCCTATATATTCTCATACTTTAATAGTTTTTCTTTTTACAATCAAGATTTTAATCTACTTTATCACTGATCTTCTCTATTCTTTTTTCTTTTCTTTTTTTTTTTGGGTTTGCATTTTTGTTCTTCCTTTAAACTTAGGGAAGTGATTGCCCATTGCTAGGTATAGCTATTATATTACTTTTAGAATTGGATTTTATGTAAATATATTCACATTTGTGTTAGTCTTAACAGTCTCAAAATACCATCAATTTGCACTTAATTGCTAGAAAACATAGCTTTAATGTGACCTCCTTTTCATGTTAAGCTAGGTTTTATTTTTTTCTCTTTTTATTACTTATTTGTTACAATCTTAAAAAAAATATATTTAAAGATTTTTTAAAAAATAAATTACTTAAGAATATTACCATTATTAAATATATCTTATCAAGGGACCAAATACTATTTTAATATTTTATTATTTATTTTTAATAATAAACTTTTAACTATATTTTTTTATACTTTTCTTTTTTTTAAACCCCAAATACATTCCAAAAATCTGTAAAGTGGGTTGACAAAAGTCACTACTTTTGTCCCCCGGAGTGCACTCCAAGGTCTACAGCAGGCAAAATTCCTTCTAAGTAGCTGCCTGCAACCAGATTCCCATTCACACCCCGTAATTTCTCATATCTCACACTTTTCTGGTAATTTCTTCGTTTCTTCAACTTTTTATCATCTCTGGTTTCTTCTTTGTTCCTAGGGTTTCTGATTATATCAGAGAATTCGTGGTAATTTCCATGCATACTAGGTGTTTGATGAAATTTCCCATCCATACCAGAGCTTTCCATTTCATATTCCGTGATTTTGGGTTTGAGTCGTTCTTTCAAAACCCTTGGCTCAAGCATAGCTAGCTTTCTATGTTTCAGCTGCTCATTTCTTTATCCTTTTGTTTTCTTTTCTTGGGTCATCTGAGTTATTTTCTTTCTAGGGCTTTAGAATTGGTCTGTTGCATCAATTTTAGCATGTTATGTAAATGTATGTGTGCATGAACATATACATATACATTTAGCTGAAGATTTTTGTAGTTAGTATTGCAGTAGAGTGGTATCCGATATTGGGTTTAAATTGCCTGGATATTCTTTTTGTGCCCTCTCTGAAATGCATACATGTTGTCTGCCATGTGTGTTCTTGGGAATTTTGTAGAAAATGGGCACCCCTGCTATAGTCTGTAGATAATTTCTCCGTGCATAAACATACATAATAGCAGCAGAGGCAAGTCATGCTCTCTTTTTGTGCATATAAAATCTGGACGACTGATCGTTACGCATTGGTTTGTATAATTTGTCTGTCAATTTTTTTATTATGGCATGAGAATGAAATAAATGAAAGGTGTGTAGTATCAGAATGAAGGGGAAGTATGATATCTGTATATCCATAATTTACAGAAGCCAGTGGTTAAGAAACAAGATAGCTACATCTGGGGAATGCTGACACTGATATACTTGATTTTTTTTACATTACTTTCTATATTTCTGTCTTGTCATATTCAATTCTGCAGTGGTTGCAAACTTATATGATATCTATGGATGTGCTTTTTTTTTTTTTATTATTATTATTGTTTTTTTATCTTTTTCAGATTTCTGTTGTAGATGTCTTTGTATATTGGCCGTTTGTCCCCTCGCATTCGCAGAGATGAACTTGAGTATGTTTTTGGAAGGTTTGGAAGATGTAATGTACGAATGAAAGATGGATTTGGATTTGTTATTTATGACTTCCCTCCAAATGCAGAGAAAGCACTGAAAGCACTTCAGGGAAGGAAGATATGTGGGGAACCATTAACTCTTACATGGTCAAATAAACAGCCGAGAGGTTTCAAAAGATTTACAAGGCATGATAGAGCCAATGACTACCAGCTACCACGAGGCCGAGGTTCCACAAGACGAGTAGATTTTGGTAATAGAAAGTTGGATTTAAATGGTCAGAGAGATGACAGACTGGGTATTATAGAAGCAGAGAGTGAAGACAGAAAACTTAATTCTGCTGACTTGCTTAATGAAGAGACAGACTATCATGAGGCAACTGAGAAAGGATACATCAAGGAAGATCACTGTGATTACCAGGAAGATTTACCAAATGAAGGTGGTCATGTTGAAGACAATCCAGTTGACAATGATAGGTGGGATGGGAGATGTAATGACCTAATAAACAAAAATGGTGTCAAACATGATTTGGAATCTGACCACTATGATACATACAAGGGTTATGAAGAGAAAGATAAAGATGAAAACCAACAACCTGCTTATTCAAATGGTTCTCCAACTCTACAAAGCTCCCAAGAGAAAATTGGGAGAGTGCTGATTGGGGAAGAAACTTTAAAGTCCACTGATCATACAAAATTCCAGCAAATTTGCTACAGCTGTGGTGGCTTGGGTCACAAAAGGCGAGATTGTCTTCATGAAAATGGTCCAGGAAGAAGGTTAACCATGTTCAGGGGCAAGCATGATGATGACATCGATAGAAGAGGTAGAGAAGCTGATGTGGAAAGATTTGAATCCAGTTCTCGGGGAAGGCTGCATTCAGATAGGGATGCTCAATCAATGAAGCAACAAGAGAATCATAGAAAAGCATCTGATTCAGGAGAGGATGGAAGGTTGATAGGGACTGGGAGTTCCCTAGTTGGAGAAAAGGGTGCCAGGTCTTTGAGGAAGGACGATGATGGAAAGAGGCATGATAGGGGGAGCAGTGGAACTCCAATAAAACATAATGCAAAAAAACCAAGAAGGTTTGTTTCATCTCCATCTGATTACACTGCATCTAGAGCACACTCAAAATCTAAATCCTTAAAGCATGAGCCCAGGCCCGGTTCACATTCTAGATCAACATCAACATCATCTGGATCGGGTTCGTCATCTCTTTCCAGGTCCCATTCACCATTGCACTGCTCTAGGTCCAGAAGTTGTAAGTTCCCCTCAAAATCTCCCACATCCGAGTCTTTATCTGTATCCCCTGGTAAGTGTTTGCCATCATCTTTAAACAAAGTGCAGTTAAATTTGGAAGGCAGACTGGAGAATTCTCTCCCTATTGAATCCAAGGAGATTATGGTTGAAGCACAATCATCAGAAGATTCTGAGGAATTAGAGAATGGTAATCTTGAAAATGGGTTGGTGGCAGTAAAAAATGGGAATGTCGCCTTTCTTGCCAAACAAAAGTATAACAATGACACCAATATGACATCTAGGGCAGTGGATAACCTTGCAAATCCAAGCATACCATTGTCAAAGAGAGGTGTGTATACTGCTGGGGGTATATCTCGACAGTGCTTGGGGGAGAAAAAGGGTAGTGAAGAATTAGATGCATCCATGATGGAAGATATGGCAATACCAACTAGGAGATCAGATTTAGAGCTTCCCATCAGTTTCTGCTCCTGCCGTTCGACTGGCATATCTTCAGACGAAATGCACATGGTTCTGAAGCATTATGGCCTAGAACTTCCTGCTGAAAAAGAGAGGCACTTGCCTGTGGAGACTTACTTTGGCTGTGCTCGCTCGTGGCCGTGGGAGATTATCTATTATAGGAGATTGAAGAAGGGTCCTATTTCAACTGAGAACTATGCCAGGCGGGAAGCTCAAAATAAGAAATTTGGTATTGTTGATAAGTATATAAGAAGTAGTAGTGGGTGGGCAGAACTCAATCACCCTGAGGAAGCTGTGTAAATGTTGTGGTGACTTAGTTTATGACTTCATGTCAGAAAGAAATTGAACACTCAGACAATAACTTGCCTTTTGTCATTCACAAATTTCAGATTTTTCATGAAAAAGATATGGACAGGTAACCTTGCAGAAAATGTTCCAACTTGTTACTCTTTCTATACAAAACTTCAGCAACTCATTTGGCATTTGTCTATTTTGTTTGCACAAATTAAGTATAAGTCTTGTGTTAAATGTTGGAAAACAGAACAATGAGCAGATTTATATATAAGGCTAATTTCTAAAGTCATGCAGTGATCAAACAACAGGCTGTTTGAGGCTAATTTTGAATGTTTGTGAGGGTGAGAAAAATAGGAAAATTATGGAATAATATTGCATGTGATGAGATTTGGTCTAGGGTCAAGCTGGAATGAAAAAGTCATTTTTTTAAGGGAGGTGTATTAAGGGTTGTCAAGCTATTTTGAACATCACTTTTAAAAGCACTATTCCAAATTTTATTGTTGAATTTTGATTGTTATTTTATGCTGGGTTGCTTGAGGTTTTTTTGGAAGCTGATTTAATGTTGTATGAATTATGAAAGAAATTAAAATTGTCTTCATTCTCGTAATTTTTTGTTTATATTGTAAAAATTTGAATAGAGATTGAGAAAGAAAACACAGGCATCATAGTTTATTTTGATAGCTTCATATAATCACAGAAAGAAAAATTGCTGTTTGCATCCTTGTAAACTTGTGTCTACTCTCTAAATTAATTAAATGAAAGACAGACACAAATATAGCTGCTACATGCATGCATAGAACTCTTACACCTAAAAATAAAGCCCAGAACACTAGATAACTCTAGATGTTACCACCTGTCCAGTTTCACCAGAGAAAAAAAAAAATTATAAAACTTAACGTTATTGAACACCTTGGTCCCCCAAAATTTGAATAAAAGTAAAATGAATGCTAAAACTGTTAACTTGAAACAAAAAGGCTCAAAACCGACTACTGGGAATTGAGACCTAACATGCTCCCATCCTCAACGTATGTGCTTTAGCATGCCATTTAACTATAGTGCTCTCCAGTATGCTTTATTACTAATAGTAGAATAAAACTTAATAGGATTCTAAAGAGCAAAGTATTGCAATTAGGATAACATATATTCCCAAAATTAGATTAGCTTCTTTGGCCTTGCCTGATCTATGGCAGAGGTTGAATACAGATCAGATTAGAACAGTTCTTTAGGATTACAAGAGATGAAGTGAATCTGGAAAAGATATTCCACACAAAAATGTTATATATATGGCCCAGTCCTGATTCCTTTGCATGTTCTCATACATTTGATGATAGGTTGAGAAAAAAAATTATGTTGCAGCCTACCTCTAACTGACATGAGCCATATTAATTTATTAAATTGAAATGCAAATACAGGAAAAAGAAAAGGAGAATTGGAATGCAAATGCTAGCAGCCTATTCCAGGCAAATTTCCTGTTACTTTTTCCTATACATGCACTTTTAATATTGGGGATGTTGGTTAGCCATGATCTTTCATATCTGATAGTTGTAATAATTGAAGATGTATGTAGATTGTAGTCAATGGGGTTACTCTCAGTCGAACTCTCCCATACATGCAGGCCTTGTGTAAGTTCTTAATTTCTCATTTTGCCAATTGAATACATCATTCTCATTATTCTGACAGGAGCTAAGTCATGTGCTGCATTTTCTTATCATGCTAATGGACGAGAATATGGCATTATTTGTTTTGGATTACCATGTTGAAGGGAGATGCCATTATTTTTTTTGGTTCAGCCTAATTCTTTCTCAGCATTTATCCATTTTGAAGGTAACCTTGGTATTGAATATTAAATATGATATTGACATTTCCATTAGCATTTTGGATTGACTTGGGGATAGGGTGGGATATATCCAAATTCTACAAACAGTTGATGAATGTGACTCAACCTCACCTTCTCTAAACTAAGCTGCAGTTATCTGTACTGTTAATTCTTTAATTTATTTCTTTCATTGCCTAAGGAATTTGAACATTCATGCTGGTTTTGAGGAAAAAAAAAATGAGGAAGAAGAAGATAATAATAGGTTTGTTGCACTAGCTGCTGGAAATCATTAATGTTAACAAATTGATTCTTTTTCCCATAGCATGAATGAATTTGTTAATTGATCTCTTGTATGGATTGACAATTTGGGTTCTTTCTTTGTGAATTTGAATCATTTGGCATCAAGTTTATCAGTTCTGAAAACTTGTGATGCAATGTTTAGCAGTAGATTGATTCTATAGAGAATTTTCTTTATTTGTTTTCCTGGGCATGAAAATGAGTCAGGATTGGTGCTTTCATGAATAAAATGGGATTTCTCATTAACAGGACCCTCGATTTAGTGATCTTTGTTGTTCAACAATCATTTTAACAATCCTTCCAATGTGCAGGATGGCCGACTGCTAGGACAGAAAAGCAGCAGCCTTTTGGTCATCATCTTCCATCTCTTTCCCCATTTCTAACTGACTGTGAACTTCATGTCCCTAGTCTACCCCGGTGACTTCACACATTTGCTGGCCAGTAAAGCATTTGACAATTCATTCAGTTTGTGGGATATTAGAAGGTATTATCTTTCCTCTTCTCTTTCTTGCAGTATTCATTTCATTGGCCTCTGTAGTTAAACATTATATTGTAAAAGTTCGTATATTGGATTAACTGCTCATATAGACTTAGAATTCAGTCTCTTTCACATCTTCTAAAGTAGTTGTCCATTAATTGATTTTACTGTTAAATTAAATTAGTATTTGACAGATGTATGCATATACATCACTAAAACCTGCAAGCACATGATGAAGAAGGTTGCTAGTGCCATATTATTATTGTGATACTGATTTATTCATGATGGAGTGTGGTTGTGATGATTACAGAAGTAATTCTTGGTATCAGTTATTATCAGTAACTTAAATCTTGATGGATTTGGCATGAGACTCTTTCTGCTTCCATTTTTCTAGGTTAGGTTCTTTGCGGCAGTTGTACATAAGATTTGAAACACACACACACTAAACAAAAAGCTTTTCTCTTTTTTTTTGGAAAAATAGTTGCCAAATTTATTCAGAGTGCTTACTCTCTGGCGATTTGTCTGCTGATTATCGCCATTTGGGTCTGATTTTACATCATTGCTGATTTTAGGCAGAAACCCAACTGTGGTTTTAAGGTTTTAACTTTTAACCATAGTGCCTGCATTATGGCCTGTGGTTAAAGAACTAAAACCAATATAGATGGACCCTGTTCTTATTTTGTACATGTGTATGTATAAGGGGCCCCTACAGTCTTCAGTATCTGTTCTTAGGATAATTTAAGGTTTTGCTTCAACTAGATGCTAACGGTTTGTTCACAGCAGAAAAATATTTAAAAATTCTTTTCTTTTCTCACTCTGCTATTCTTTTTATCAGTTTTGGGAATTTCATAAATCATTTCTTATAATTACAACTCTTTTCACTATAGGGTTATGCTTGAAAGATAGAAAAATAGATTTTTTCTTTCTTATTTGATTTCCTAAGCTTGTATGAATTTTTCCTATCTATTTGATTTCCTAAGCTTGTTAAAATTGCACCATCTTCTTAATATTAGTAGCCGTTCTAAGCAGTATTAATGCAACTCACGAGGTCCTGTTTAGTATTCCCCATGCCTATGATAGATGTGCATATACGGAAAGGGTGTTGGACAGGATGAAAAGAGTGAAAACTGAAACGAATGGAGGAGAGAAATGGACAAGAGCGTGTAGAGATGGGGTTACCAAAATGGACAATAGCACCAGAAATATGGCATTTAGTGATGAGAGAAGGGATTGAAAATAGAAGAAGAAGAAGAAGGTAGAATTAAATTTGTATTTATAATCTGACGTAATGCCCCTCTTTATTCTCAACTGTCTCAATTACTCTGCATTTATGTGTTTTAATGGTCTTCCAATCCAATATGGTTCCCTTTTTTTTCAATGCTCGAGCTACCCAAACTCTCCCTGAAACTTAACCTTACATCATTAACCTTTTCTTTTTCCATGAATATAACCGTTTTTTGTGTTCATAAGCACCATTGTTTACTGTTATTTTACATTTTCCTGGACATTTTATTTATTCATTTCTGTTCTTGGTTCATCATGGATCTACCATGCCATAACTGTATGAACAAACTTAAATGGCTATCTAAATGCAGTTATGCAGAGCTATTATGGTTTTTAATGGTGTGGCTGATTTTTGCAGGCATTTAAACTGAAAATTTACCGCACTGGATTATTTTGCCACCTTGACTGATTAGCTGCAGTGCGCAAATATCAGCATTTCACGACCATCTGATCATCTGCAATATTATTTGTTTGTTAATTCTTGAGACAGGTGGACCAAAATTGCCATCAGTGCTCATTCACCAGCTGCTTTCAAGTACAAGGATTCTGCAAATTTTGTCAAAGGTTTTAAATCTTCTTTTAGGGATCAGGTAACCCCAGTCACTACTGTTCTTTAATCTTTAGATTGTTTCATGTATATCTATGTTGAGTCTACATCAGTGTTTAACTGCTTATGCGGTAATGTTGTGACTGGATGTGAACTAAACAAATTAAGAGAAACAGGGAAGGAAAAGTGTATTTTTTCCGCTTACTGAACTAATAAGATAAAATGGACAGTTTACATAGTCTTCCGCTAAAAGAGTGAAGAAAAACAGATGCCAGAACTGAAACAGAGGGATCCCATTACCATGCTCATATTGCCATCTTCTATGTTCAATCATAGCAGGAAAAAAGGGAAATTAATAAAAATGGCAAAAGAGCAGTGCTATTGGTGCTCCACCCTTAGATGATTATGTTGCTGCTAGTTCATGTCTTCTGGAATGAAAATAAAGGAAAAAACGGTGGAGCACTAGTAGCGCTATCCTACAAAATTAAGGTAAGACAGATATAGCATAAGTCCTAATAAGAGCATTTTTTTTTTTTCTGAAGAGAGCCAGCTCTACTCTAGCTCCTCCTTGTGTCATAGGCGGCTGCTGCAGCGGTGGGATTGGTGTTGTCATGGAGGAAATCGAGCAAAACAGTGCTCTTGCATTTGGGACACTTGGGATCATCTTCTGATAGCATCACGTACATGAGGCACCTGGGACACCCCACCAGCACCATGGACGTTGCCTCAGGACTGCTTGAGTACCTGAGGTTGTCATGTTGGTTCCTCTCCGATGACACACAGGAACTTGGCGGAGATGTTGGTGACACTGTTGCTGATCTGCTTGGTGACTCCACTCTTGGATTCATCCTTGGTGGTGATAGGTTCAGCTTCAACTCTAGCTTTGGACCATTCCTGCGACTCATTTTTGGTCTATGTCTTGTGTATAAAACAGAACCTGATTCAAAAGCATTGTCTTAGACAAATATAAAACAATAGAATTAAAAAAATGCAGTTACGATACCGATGTAGTGATGTATGTTACCTGAGAGGTAAGGCTAGCTAGGGAAGGACCTCTGTTTGATGAAGGAGCTTGGAAGAGAAACAGGGTGACTCAGATGGGGAGGCTATGTCAGCACCGTGACTGGCTCCGCCTTGGTGGTGGTGGTGGTGGTGGAGGGATTGAGGCTCCTAGAGCATCATTATATACAAGTGGAAATGAAGAGATGGATGGCTTTAATTTAAAGCCTGATATAATTATGGGGAGATGTGGAGGGTGTAGGGTGGTAAAAAACTAAAGAGAGAATTGAATAGAAGTATTGGTAGAAGAAAAGTATAAATTGAGGCCAGGAAACGTATTAATGGCTGGAAAAAATCCAAAGAAGTATGCGGAAGAGGGGAAATTGCTGTAAATATTTCAATTACAGAAGTGCAGGTGCAGGGAAAGCCGAATTCATTCATTATGGTAAGGAGAGGGAGGAAAGAGTATGAATATGCCTTTATGAATTGTGGTTCTTTAGACAAAAAAAAAAAACCCCAGATTTTAAAAAACCAACCTACTATTTAATACTATCAAACAACAGCAAATTAAATGGCAATCAATAAAATAGAAGTACTGCAACTAAACCTGTTTTTAATGCCCAACAAAACCCAGATAATTGAAATCAAGAACACCAAAATTTAATTGCTACCCCTACCAATATTCCATATAATCAAATCACTGCAAACATCTTATGGGAGATATCATAATGGTTAAGAATTTAAATATTTATATCAAAAATTTTAAATTTGAATTTTAAATAAGTGAAAAGAGATTTGTGAATGAGATAATTATTTTTTATTGTATAATTCATCATTTGTTGTATCAAAAAATAAAAAATAAAAAGTCACTGCAAACAAATTCTGTCTTATCTTCTTCCTTTTCTTTTCTCCTTCTCTTTTTTATTTTTAAAAAATTACCTCCAGTGTTTTGGTTTTTTCTTGCTCTGCTTTTGTGGGTGAAATGTTTGAAATTATTCTTAAAAATTGGGGAAGTTTTAGAGAAGACGATATCATTAAAGTTAAAGCATTAATCTTTAAATTTCAGCATCCATGTGAAATTATTAAATGTGATTAAAGAAGGTTTTATCCATGATTTGATGTATTTATTAAATTAATAATTTTTGAAGTTAACTCATTTAAATTGGCTTAAATAATAAGATGAGAAATATAACTGAGAATATTTGAGTCCATTTTTTTTTTTTTGAACGAAACTGAAAAGAGTCTTATTATTATTATTATTATTATTATTATTATTATTATTATTATTTGAATATAAATAATTTTAGTAAGTTTTGTTCACCCACTCCTTTGAAAGTGAAGGTTTATTTAGTATATATAAATAAAAATAAATTGTAATTGAACTAAAGACTTGAATACCCATCTTTGTTAAATAATAATAATAATAATAATAATAATAATAACAATTTTTGAAGTTTCTGAAATGGCTATTTATCTGGTCTATTGTGTTTAATTGAGAGGTGACAACCTGACAAATTTATTAATTAACGTTACTTAATTTCAACAATCTTTAGAAAAAAAAAAAAAAAAAGAAGAAAAAAACCCTTTTCTTCCAAAATTGGTTTGGTAGCCGG